ATAGCTTCAAGTACTGTTGCAGATTTAATCTCCTATTACTTAGATTCTCAGTAAGAAAGTAAGTTTGGATTTCTAAAAACAACACCAGTTATTGTCTCACAATAATTCTACATAATGCTTATCCATGTAACACAAAAAAAAAAGTGTAAATTTAAATCCCTAGTTACAAAGCTGATACACACAAACATGTTGTAGACTGAATCATAAAACTTCCTCTCTAGACTTTATGCTTTCCGTACCACTTCTGACGAGTATCTTTTTTTTTACCAGTTTTTTTATTAACGTGACAGATTTCTCATTCAACACAGTTTTCTAGTACGATTCATTCCACGAATCTTGATCTGTTTGTTTTCTTCATTCCACACTGATTATGTAGCATTAGTCTTAATATCCTCACATAGGATTGGGCACGAGTTCTAACCATCAATATTAGGTCGAATTGTATCAGCATGATAAATCTCTAATTACAGACCTGAGCAGTTGGGACTGTAAATTGTAAAAATCCAGAGATTATATGATTACAATTTTTCGAAACATCTATGAAAACAAAAGCATTATGACTTGATTAAATTTTGGCAAACTAAACTTTCAACAAATTCATCTAATCCTTACGTGATCTTTTTAACCGAGTTCCGTTATGTATCAAAACCTTTTACAAACCACATAACCAAGTAAGCAAAGAAAAAGAAAAATTATCAATTTTATTTTCAGTATTCTCCTTTTGTGTACATTGATAAGTCACATATAATTAAACTTGTACTGGCTTATAATATGCTCACATTTAAGAAAAAAAAATAAGCAAAAAAGTAGTTTGATCTTTGAGTGACTTTCACTTCTGAGACCATTTTAATTTTCATGTCCAGCTTATCACTTGGTAGAATTGTGCATCAAAGAAATAATACAATGACTGTGACCTCTGCAAGTCTGACTGACCACATTTGGGATTAATTAGATGGACATTTATGACTTTGGAGTTACATTCATCTTGACTAGGGTACCTTTGTAACGTTGATAGCTCAACGACTATAATACCAATTATAATCGAAATCTCTTCAACCATGTAGCAGAAACTCACAAATACACACACACACTCTCACTGAATGGTAGCTATCACACCCTCCAGTTTCGTGTGCAAGGTAATGTGACTTTAATATTTTGTATAATTTCTTGACAACTACTGCAAGAGGTGAGTGTATAAAACTACAAGTGTTTTCTGGACCAAACACAAGTTCAGAGAGTATTAACTTGAGCAAGTTGAAGTTACCAAATAGTGATGGCTTACAGTATACCTAAGATTACATATTAATACTAGTAATAAACTAAAGTGACACTTAACAGTAATGACTCCACAGTACAGCAAAAAGTAATAAAATTCCATAATGTCATCAGAGTAACACACTAAAAGTGATACTGAGTTACTTAATAGCAACAGATTAAACCGTACAACTGAAAGTAACAAAATTACTTAACATTAAGACTGGAATCAACTCATCACTATAGATAAAACTGGAGCTTACTTAATAGCAGTGGCTCTAGAACATTACTGCGTATCATATAAATCATCAATACGAGCAACACTGCCAGCTGTTTGATCTTAGTGGTGTTTCTGGAGTATGAATGGAGTGAGTTAGGGTGATCATACCTCTTAGAAATAGTGATTAAAATAAGATTTGGTGATCACCGTTACACCTTTAATGTACATCATTAAACTGCATAATTCTGGAATACAACAAAAAAACAAAATATTACACCAATCATAACAACTAAACTTACTCAAACTATCTTTGTCAAGTGTCAATGAAGCTTCCAAAGCCCAACGTGTCTCTGGAGTTATTAATTTTGGATACCTGAAACAGATCAAGATATGAAGTTTGACCATACTTTATCCTGGCAAGTTCTGAAGTAAACTTTAAGTTAGATCTAATTAGATGCAAATTTAAAGGTCTGTTAAATTTCTTATAATAAAAAGAAACCACCAGAGTTTTGTTAAAAAAATAAACAAACAATTATTACTTTATTGAAACAACACATAACACTTAAAAGACTATTAAATAAGGTTTTAAAGTGTAAACTGTACACGATAAACCACTAAATTGTTGTTATAAAAGAACAATTATTACTTTATTGAAACAACATGTAGCACTTAAAATACTATTAAATAAGATTTTAAAGGGTAAGTATACAAAACATGTACACATATGTGAATAAAAAGCTGACTACTGACCTATACTGGAGAACCTTTGATAAGAGATCATTGCCCCTATTGGTCTGAAGAGGACTACTATCACTGAAAGTAATACAAAGGAATGTGTGATAGGCTTAACAAACATACACTAATGGGTTATGTTTTCCTCTATATACAATGTCAGAACTGTTAATAGTAGCTGCAAGCCACTAGTTGCTGCGTATTTCACTACGTTTTTACATAGTACAAACAAGGTTAAAAATTGTCAGAACTGTTAATGGTAGCTGCAAGCCATTAGTTGCTACATATGTCACTACGTTTTTACATAGTACAAACAAGGTTAAAAATTGTCAGAACTGTTAATAGTAGCTGCAAGCTACATTTATGTCACTACATTTTTACATAGTACAAACAAGGTTAAAAATTGTCAGAACTGTTAATAGTAGCTGCAACCCATTAGTTGCTGAGTATGTCACTACATTTTTACATAGTGCAAACAAGATTAAAAATGGTCAGAAATGTTAATAGTAGCTGCAAGCCATTAGTTGCTGTGCATGTCACTACATTTTTACATAGTGCAAACAAGGTTAAATATTGTCAGAACTGTTAATAGTAGCTGCAACCCATTAGTTGCTGAGTATGTCACTACATTTTTACATAGTGCAAACAAGATTAAAAATGGTCAGAACTGTTAATAGTAGCTGCAACCCATTAGTTGCTGAGTATGTCACTACATTTTTACATAGTATAAACAAGGTTAAAAATTGTCAGAACTGTTAATAGTAGCTGCAACCCATTAGTTGCTGAGTATGTCACTACATTTTTACATAGTGCAAACAAGGTCAACTATTGTTATTTCTAAAAGACAAACTAAAAGGATAAAAATAAATACAAATTTCTCAAGAATGCATGGTAGATAACATTAGAAGATGACAGACGTCAAACATACAACACATTAAAGTATTATACTGTCTTGGGATATAACTACACATTTCTAAATAAAACAACAACAAAATAAATTAATGTATCAAAAACGTTTTTCTTATGAAAAATATGTGAAATACAACTCTTCTTGTACGCGATTCAATTAGTAGCCTACTCACTTTCAAACTCCGTCTTCATAAGTATGAAATACATGCGAGAAAACCTGAACCACTAAGGAAATTTATATCTTAAAGGAAGATAAAACCTTGTTTTCTCACCTTGTACAAATCATTTCATCACGAACCCGACGAATTAAGAGGAATGGTCCTGGATACCTGTTAAATATAAACATTTCATTTTTACTGATCCTGGATATCGAAATGTTTATATTTAACACAGTAAAAATCCAGTAAAAATGAAATGTTTATATTTAACAGGTATCCAGGATGGTATCCAGGAGAAATGTTTATATTTAACAATTTTTACTGAAATATTACACACACAACATGTCACGTGTTTCTTTTGTACAACCAAATCATAGATACAATGTTGAGTTCTGTGGACACCATTAAACACATTCAGTAGTGTTAACTTACTATATTTTCATTACCATAAAGTCACACAAGACCCGATATATATTTGTTTTCTGTCGACTTTTTTTCACTAATAAATATTACATACCAGACTTTAATACAATATACATTTCTGATTCAAAATGTAAAGCATGATTTTAAGTCTAGGATTTTACAAATTACATCTTTTATGAGATTTAAAAACACCTGTTCTTCATCTCACAGACTTTTCAAACTAATCAGGAGTTGCCCCCCGACATATGTATATAAAAATACATAAACTGGATAAGTCCAATTAGGCTACTTTCATACTTTTTAAGAAATTCATTTCATTAGAAACACAATATTAAATTTTAATTGTATTTTTAGGCCAACTCTTGCTATTAAAGGATCCTTTAAAAGCATTTTAAGTACTTGGCAACTGAAAATTTGAGTTTGTCTAATCCGAGGTGTGCCAGACCTAATAAAAGAATTATAAAATGCAGAATCCCAAAGATGTTAATTGTATACTTGGAAACATTGAACTGAGTTCAGAAGGCTTAACACAGATTTTTAAGTTTTTTTAGAAAACTTAAAGAACAACCACAATTTTAAAAGATATGCACTAGAGGTATATTTTTTCTATTTAAATCTTTTCACTATTTGGTTATTTATTTCTCCTTTCTGAAATCATTTTAAATTGCTTGTGAAGTTTAATTTCAAACAAAACATGACTTACATCAATACAATATTATTTGACATAGTACCTTACACACTCTCCACTATCCACTAGAACACTATAAAGACCAAACTACACCACACTGACCTGAAGACGAAAGGCAGAAGACTTTCAAAATGTCGTCCTCTACATTTGTAGGTTTCTACAACAGGCAGTTGCT